TATCCGCAATTCAACAGCAAATGTCATTAATGATCGTAAGGTAGTGATGGAGGATGTAAAGGGAAACCAAATAGTTATGAACTATAATTTCGTTAAGGAACATGTTCATATGGAAATATTTCAACCACTCTTTCATATAGTTCATTAAAGTGCTATTTGTTATGTTTTTATTTGGGTTTGTACTGTTTAATAATTGTTCTGTAACCCAACAACAAGGCGTAATGTAGGAAAGAATACATTAGAGTGTGGAGTGATTGTTTCAAAATCAAGTAAGAACTGATTTCATGGGTAAAACATTAAAAGTTATGTTTGTTGTCTAACTTCGTTAGCACGAATATGATATCAATATAACGTCAAATTGCATCGTGGTTTGTGCAGGTAAACCGACGATAGAAAGGGTAGAGGATGCATCAGAAGAATGGAAGAAAGAATTAGATGGTATGCATCTATTATAACATATTCAAACAGTTTTGATAAAACCATTTTGATGAAATTGCTTCACTTGTTCAAATTTCCGAAATGAATATATTGCTTTTGGTTATTTCTTATCTTCTATCGTAATGTTAAAGGAAGATAGAACATGTTTATGATTAATACATGAGATTAAAATGTTGTAACTTCACATACACTAATACACATGTATACATTCAGACAATGATTTTGTCCAAAGCCCAAACTTTGGTAAGCTGAAGAAAGTGAAGGTTACGACAAACAACACTGCCTCATCAAGGCATGGTAAGACAGAACATGTTTCCCCACATAAAACACCGGTGAAAGTAGCAGGAGACAACAAAGGAACTCAACAGACAAAAGGTACAATCTTACGCTTTCATAATGTTTAATGTACATACTAATGCTAACTAATATATGCAGGAAATCAGGATAACCCAACACGGATTGGGTTACGAGACCATGACAGGATGCACAATGAAGACGAGCAGGAAGTAAATGATCATGAGATGGACAAGGCCATGGAAGATGAACCATCAACTGAGATAAGAGAAGTTGAAGATGAACCATCAGCTGAGATAAGAGAAGTTCAATATCGTGTATTACAAACTAGGACATCCCCACGGACACTACACGAAACAGTGCATACACTTAACGATTCACAACGGGAAGGTGTTAAAAGTATGGGATTAGGGAGTTTACTGGACATTAAGATAGATGGGGTCCCATCTAGGTTGGGTTTCTACGTGGTAGACAATTTAGACACTATGAATATGACGTTGAATGTTAGACACGTGTCAGTTCCAATTACAATATCATCCCATAAGACAACATTCAAACATAGAATAATGAAACATGTTCATATAATCCACTACGACTCAACAATTTGTTTCACCCATTTACCATTCAACGCTTCATGGTTAGATGTTTCTTTTATACATAAATTCTTCACACACACCTCTCTTTCAACCTCTTTTGTCTCTTCCAACAGTGTCGCCGATCCCAATCCTCCATTAGCAATCTCTGAAGCCTCCCCTTTTCTTAACATCTCGAAGCTCCATCCTTTTGTAGCTGGCCTTATGTGGTCATCTGCTTCTTTGTCCACATAGTTGACTCCACATATAGTAACCGGGTAAACGATAAGTACAATAGGCTATTTAGACTTTCATTCTCACAATTTATGCAACATAAAAAAATATATGAACTTACGGTCAAATAAATTAGTGGCCGGTGTAGAAACATATATCACTGGTTTTGCTCCAGTTGTCCTTACTCAATTTCAACATATCAAATATGTATTTGCACCAATTGATCTCTATGATCATTTTCTCATCCTTAATACAAGACAAAAAACCAAGATTGCAACACCTCATACGATTGCAATCTACCATCAAGTTCACAAACAAAACCAAGAAATTAAGTTTAATTGCAACAGATGCATCTCTAGCACCTTGTAATTTCATTAGGTTAATGAAGTTTAGCATATATGTGTACAAGATGATCTGTGAACATGTTTCATTGGACACTAACCATATCACCCATTATTATAGAGGACGATAAATTTTCAAGATGAAACAATATGATTTAGACAACCTACAACTATCTCGATCCAAATTATTTGTATAAATTGGTAAAAGATGGAACAAAATCAGGAATATCAACAATAATGAAACAAAATCAGAGCTTTAAAATATATATATATATATATATATAATTTTATTGTTAGAATAGTTGTAACTAAAAATATTGAGAAAATGTGGGAAGATCGATATATTCAACAAAAATTTGCTTTATTTTTATGAGTAAATATTAGAATAAAATAAATTCCACCTTAAAAATAGAGTTACCTAGAAACTATAAAAATGATAATATTTTAATAAATGACGAAACATAAAAATATTCATTAAACAACAATGATTGTACATTCTTCAAAGATGACGATTTGTATTAACATATTTAATGGATAAATCAATTAAACATTTACTAAAAAGGTGCTAGGTAATCAAGATATAATCCATATTTATATAAAATTAAAGAATTACCAAACTTATCTATTAGTATTAAATATTTACCAAACATAACTATTGTAATCTCAAAAGACCAAACATATCATCCTCCCACACCTCCTGGAAACGACGATGCCTCCTCCCTCATCTGGTATGTTTTTCGACGAACCAAGTGCCATCGTATCATCCTCCACCTCCGCCCCTTGCGTCTTCATCGGTGCCCTCCCTCATTCCTTACCTCCGGCCACCATACCCCGCACCATGGTAAGACATCGACTTTGCTCCCACATCGAGTTCATCAAGTTCATAAAGGGTTAGGTGGATCGGTGGAGATCCATTGAGTTCATGAATTTCATCAGACCAATCGATTTCATCAAGTTCATCGAATCCATCGAGTTCATCAAATCTTCGACAAATCATCCCTCTTTCATCGAAAATTCGTCCCTGTTCCATTTAAAAATCGTTCTTGTTTCATCGAAAAATCGTCCCTAATGCATTTAAAATAGTCACTGTTCCATTTTAGGGTTTTAATCTTTCGTTTCATTACTTATTTCATTTTCAGATTCATTTCCAAGTTTAATCTTCTGTTTCATTTCTGGATACATTTCTAGACTTATTTATCAATGAATTTAAACCTAGATTTAGTTGATTTGGGTTGAGTTTTTATGAGTAAGGTGCTATTTGACACTTACTAACTGGTTTGATGCAAAAAGATTAAGTGGTCAGAATGATATAATACACAATGAAATATAATTGTTTACAATGAAATTAAACGGGTGTTTGGGATTGCTTATAAAAGCTGTTTTTTAATTTATTTCAGTCTGACATCGGTGATAAGCTGTTTTCTGGTGTTTGGATAAGAAAAAAAACTGCTTATACAGGTGCCAAACCGGTAATAAGCTGTTTTTGATAAGTTAATCCTTCCTGACGTATGAAAAACTGTTTATTACCAGTTTACAATTTTAACCATGTTTTATTTAACTCCGGTTTGATACCACATAAGTTAATAAGCACTTTTACAAAAAAAAAAAAAAAAACATAAGTTGTTTTAAATAAGCAATCCCAAACACCTCCTAAGATGCTGAATAGTTAAGGGAGACCCGTGATATAAAATTATTCAGAGAGTTTTGGAACAATTAAGAGGCTGATTTTTTTTTGTCAAACAAGATTCACCTCTTACCGATTCAGAGGCTGCTTCTTAATAAAACAATTAAGAGGTAAACACACCGCCCCTAAGGGTTACATTCGAGTGAGGGTTACATTTGACCTCAGTTCTTGCAACTCTTCGACTCCTCAATGTTGCTCCTCTTGCTTCGTTTATGCACGACCCACCATCATATCAAAGCAGTCGTAAATCCAATGGTAAGTTACGTACATGGTATATAAACACATACAAAAATTTATCATTTTTTTGTTCATAACAACAAAATCGGGTTTATAGAATGCAAAAAATTTCAAAGTGGTCTAATAACCGGTTCTATATTATAAGATGCTTATACCACTAAATACATGTGCGTAAAGCAATGACAATAAGTTTATAGAATATTATCTTACAAAGTACATTTTTGAAATAAGGCGTCTTATAGAATATTATCTTACAAAGTAGGTGTCTTGTAGAACTCATCTAAAAATTAGAAACCATGAAACCAGTTTTTATGTAACGTTTCATAATAGACGAAACAATAAATGAAAACCGAACCCGTGTAAATCAAACAAAACCATCCAATGAGTTAAATTTTAAGGTATGATTTATATTATTTTACATGTTTTGTTGCTGCTTGCGAGTATAACTGTATTTTTGTGTTTTTTCCACATGCAAAACATCATTTGATGTTTCATATATGAAACAATATTGTATAAAAACCGACATGTTCACATGTGTTGTTTCATATACAAAACAACGCATACAAGCCAGGTTTCACGGTTTCTAACTTTTGTTAACATTTCTACACTTCCTACCAAAATTTGATTTTCTATGCAATACTAAGTGGCCGTTTACCAAACATTTGCCCGGTAAGTGCTTACCGGTAAAATTTAACACTATTATTTATTATCGGGTAAGATTTTTGGTCCACAAAAACGACATTGTATGAAACAAATTTACCCGGTAAACATTTACCATGGTAAGAGTCATTGCCCTCACTTACCAGGTAACACTCTTGGTCCTTGTCTCACTCTTACCATGTAAGACTCTCGGTCCTTACCATATTCATCCGGTAAGGTAGTGTGACTTGGTAAGTGCTTATCCGGGTAAGCATTTGATAATCAGCTCCCAAGTCTCTCTCTCTCTCTCTCTCACTTTCAGTATATATTTCTTGTTTCACATATCATTTAATCAATTAAAACTTATATTTAAAATTAATATGAATATAATTTATAATATAATATAGATGCCAAATAAAAACTTGTGAAATTTACAATTATAAAATAAAAATATATAGATCTCAAAATTAAGGTACCAACTACCAACATTGTAGTTGTTAAAATTTATAAAAAAAATAATGTAAATGAATAATATTACACCAACCAAAGGGTCTTTGTTCTAGCAGTACGTGAGTCTTTATCATTTCAAAAAAGAAAGAGAGAAACACACATCCGAATCTCGGGTTTTCTGTGATAAAACTAATAGTTTATCCACATTGATCGATTTTGTTCGTCTACCTTTGTACAATATACTACGAACACGAGATGTGATGATCAACTTGTCATTTGAATATGGCATACAAAACAGAAATCAGACACACAAAACCATACAGATACATTCGCCTTTGCATATATAGAACGCTAACCTCAAGCCTTTCCATCCGAGCTTCAACCCGACTTATCCTTGCTTCCAAACGTGCAATTTGCATTTGGATCTGTGGATCCATGCGCACATTTTCATTTACGGTGCTTTGATGGTGATCTACTTCACCACCAGAATCGTCTTCACCAGCAACCAATCTACACATTATACAGACTGAAAACAAAATAACAAAATAACAAAATTAAAGAAGTAGAAAAGTTTCTCCGCACAAAACTAAAGGGGTTGTTTACTACACACTTACCGCCTTGTATCGGGTAACTAAACACTTATTGCCTCTTTACCAGGTAAGAGACACAGATTATGATCTTTACCAACAATCTTACTTTTCCATTGTGCTGACCGAGAATCTTACCCATTTTGCCGGCCGAGAATCTTCCCGGGCAAGTGAGGTTGGCGACTCTTACCCAGTTAGCAATTACTACGTAAGAGATGGTTATACGATGCTATTTTGATGACAAAACCTTACACAAAAAGGTAAGTCAGGGTGGTGATCCTTACCCGGTAAGTGAGGTTGGTGGCTCTTACCTGGTTAGCAGTTACCAGGTAAGAGACACTTATACAATACTATTTTGATGACCAATCTTACCCAATAAGGTAAGTGAGGGGGTGACTCTTACCCGGTAAGCTCTTACCCAGTTTGTGTATTAGAATCAGCTACATCAAAAGACAATTTCCATGTCTTGAGATATAGAAAGAAATAAAGACTGAAAACATTTGAACCAAATTTATTGTTCCCATATGTGACCTAAGTGGAGGCAACATATACATGTATATATATAGGGGGGAATCGAATGACAAGAAGTTTCACATGTAAAAGATCCAATCTTGTTTCGTATATGAAACAGACAAAGCTCACATGTGAAACAAAGCATGTCCTCATGCTTTCATATATGAAACAAACACATGACACAATAATACCATCTTGAATCACAACCTAAAATAAATCTCGTTGAATAGTTGGGATTGGTTCTCACGAGCTCAACAAAAACATCTATGCAAACCAACAGACAACCTATTAACTACGAATCAGCTGAAATTGAAATCCAGAACTTGCAAACGAAAACAAAAGCTAACAGCTGTTAATGTAAAAAAATCAATAGGACAAACATAACAAAATTTGCCAACAGATGGGCATATTAAGTTACTACTTATGCATCACCGGACAAGAGGTTAGACTTATAAGACTGTTTGTATTTTTCTGTGATAAGAGCTTAAAACCTCTTACCGTCCTCTTACTGGACAAGAGGTAAACCCATGTCTTAGCCCGTATGATACAGTTTATTTCCCTAAAACCATAACAAAATAATTTGGAACCCTAAAAGAACTTCTACCATGACAATGAAACATCTGAGATGTACAAGTCTGTTGTTTGTTTACCTCTTAATAGTTCCATTAAGAGACAACCTCTGAATCGTTAAGAGGTGAATCTTGTTTGGCAAATAAAAAGTCTGCTTCTTAATGGTTCTAAAACCCTCTGAATGATTTTGTATCCTGGATCTCCCTTAACCATTAAGAGCCCTGATTTCATTGTATACAATTACCAAACAATTATATTTCATTTTGTATTATATCACGAGAGTCTCTTAATCATTATGACCATTTAATCATTACGCACCAAATCATTCAGCAATTGTCAAACATCCTCAACAGTACAAAACTTAGTATTCTTAAGAAGATCAACACTTTTTATTTACATTTAAAAATAAGTTTCAATCAGCGCTTATGTTTTTTCTATTTGTTGGTAATAGTTTCTTAGATATCATTAACTTTGATTTTGCTTACAGATACTTTGATTTTGCTTACAGATTCAGGCATTTATCGGTTTAAAAAACAAAACAGTCTTATTATTTTGCTTGACTTAAGCTGTCAGCACTTTTACGAAACTATCAGCACCTAAACCTGTCATCAAGATAGTGCCAAATTTCCATACTCTCTGGTGGATAATTTATGAATTCAAAGGGAGAAAAAGGAAGAATCATGGCATAGTTACTAAAATACCTAACACATGCAACAAGAAAGAACCAAAAATTCCTCCAGTTCCTGGATGCTGAGATGGAAACCAATAAATCATAACCCCAAATAAAACTGTACGATTCAAAATAGGAAAAGAACGATGCTATCATCATCAGTTCGAGTACGAAACAAAAATTACAAATTAGGGTTAAATAAGGTAACAAACCGATATCCGATAGAACAATTGAAAAGTAAATGACGATGTAATGTGGGAAGAACACTTCACCTCTAAGAAAATGGCTTGATTCCTTGTTGAAATTGTTCAAATCGAAACCCTAATTCTTGTGGAATTTAGGGAAATTGTCGACATTTCCTCCCTTTATCTTTTCCCTTTTTTAAAATTTGAATAACTTTGTGGGCTTTACCGGTATGTTGATTGTTGATCTTGGAAACATTTTGCTAATAGCCCCTATGTTATCACAATTTGGCAATAACACCCCTCATATTTTGTTTATTTGCAAAATTCCCCATAATCTTTCATTAATTGTCATACTTTAACTGTAAAAATTTGTAAGTAAAATATGCTGGTCAAATAGAATAAGTTAACCAGTGAAAGTATAATTTTCGTAAGTGCGAAGTAACAAGTGGTATATTATTATGTGTTCGTTTGCTTTATTTTGGTTTATTGTTATTATATTATTTCAAACAAGAAAATATATGCAAGAACGTAAAATGATAAAAAAAAGACCTTATAAAACTCGTACTGAATTTTAAAAAAAGTGCATTAATGGACCAAAACAATCATGCCAATATCGTTAAATGTGGTTCTGCCTTTAACTCGAGATCGTACTGATCTTCCTCTTCAGCAAAATATGAGAAATACCCTTTTTACCAGTATTCTTGATCGAACAATGTGCACGGATTTCACATTCTCCTCCCGTTTTCAATTTTTGTACAAATAAAATAAAATATGGGACTAAATCGTTAAAGAACGAATCGTGATTAGATATTTGTCTTTAAAATATGAAACCCCTTCTTATTAAATATTAACGAAAATGAAGTATTTCACAATATAGTTCCATTTTATTATTTCACAAAAGACAATTGTTTTACTCTTTGGGGTAGAGGACAAATATGTGTATATCTCTCCCTTGAGACTCTACTTCCAAGTGGATATACTGAATTAGATTGATTTTTATCGTTATTATATTATTTCAAACAAAACATTTTACACAATCACGTAAAACAATAATAAAGAACATACAATATAAAACCCTTATGGAATTCAAAAATGTACATCATGATAAGCTAGTAACCCAAATGATCACGTTATTCATGTCAATATCGACATTGTGCATCAACGTAGTTCTGCCCTTGTCTCAAGATCGTACTGATCTTCTTCTTCAGCCAAATACGAGAAATACCCTTTATTATCAGGATTCCTGATCGAACAATGTGCACGAATTTCGCCTTTTCCTCCCGTCAACACTTCCAGTTGTCCCATTTTGATCATGGCCTGCACGAACTTCTCAAAGAACAACTTCTCATCATGTGCAAAACTTTCCACAATCGGTTTAGTCTCTTTGTGAGTGTACAAATCTTGATCAGATGTAAAAAGCCCTTGTCGATTCATTAGATCGACATAATACTTGTTATCGAACTTGATCGGTGAATAAATGTCCATGACGGTGGTGGCATCGGTGGTGTTGGTGGGACAAACCTCTTTGAGTCCATGAGCAAAGATTTTCTCCATGGTGGGGTCTTGGGTAGGGTAAAGACGAGAGGTGAAGGATGAGCAGTGACTAATGCCGATGGTGTGGCCACCAGATAAGGCCACCACGTCTGTGGCGGTGAGGTCTTTAGCCGCGAGGGCCGAGAGGATGGTGGTGGCATTACTTGTTGGTGCAGGAAGGTTGTCTAGGGTTGCGTTTTGAGTGGCAAACGTAAGTCCATCTTTTCTACCCAATGGAACATCGTAGTCGGGGCCACCTGACTATAGCAATGTCATAAAACATAAAATAAGATATTTTTCCAGAGTTTCATGTAAAGTCAAACCTTTTATTTTAGAAAAACAAAAGAAATATGGGTTAAATACATTTCCATTAATCTTACAAATCTTTACATACCAGATGAACTGCATCACGAGCCGCGAGCGCTACAATATCAGCACAAGACACGACTCTCCCGCATTCTCTATGGACTAGACCTCTAAGATCTTCGATGATGTTGAATGCCTGTTTTCTTAGACTTTGGTTTGGAGGTGCAGTTTGCTCGCTTGGTCCACCGTGTGATCCATCTAGCAATACCGAACCGTCACACCCCTACATCAGTGTAACAAGAAATAAAAAAAAACCCGAAGGGTACATAATATAGAATTTAATACCCAGTTTCATAATAAGAATAATTATAATAGGTGAATATCTTTTTGAAACAAATAATTATGAAAATATTGAAAATCTTGTTAATATCTATACTGTATTATAAAACATTTGACAGAAACTTTTAAAAACCATTTTTTATGCATGAAGTACTGCTTATTGATGCATATTATTTAAAATTCAAGATTACATATAATTTTACGTAAGTACAGTTTATTAAAGCTTCATCTATAAATTCGTGAAACTAACTGCAGATATACATAATCAAATACATGATAAACATCTATTTTAAATATAGAAAATCTAAAATATAATTAAGATAATCATTGAGTTCTAACAAATTTTTTAATTATTATCTTTATAAAAATTGTATTATTAAACCAAAAATAAATTACTTTATTATTAAATCTAAATCAAATTATAATAAAAAATTGAATTAAAAAAGTTACATACAAAAAACGAGAACTATTAGATAGTTAATTTGATAATAATATTGATTTATTTTTTTCAAAATTTTATACTATCTTCAAATTTATATTTTATTTGACAAAAAAAACTCTTAAAATCGTATTTTCTCGATAGAGACAGAATAAAAACTAAACATTGAAATGAAGATGTTGGGGACAGAAAGCCTCGACGTTCCCTCGAGCCGGTCAAATCCGCGATTCTTAAACCCAACGCTCCTGTAGCAATGCAGGAGCATCCCACATCGGTGAGGCTAGGGGGATTCGGCTTCCTTATAAGGAAGTGGGAGTCTTACTCCTACCAGTGACGCGTTTTAAAGCCGTGAGGGGTTGGTCAAACCCAAAGCGGACAATATCACGTGGGCGGTTCCCTAGATCGGTCCAACAGAAGATTTATCTCGCTGCATTGCACGAGTACCCTTCTAGTGTGTGTGTGTGTGTATATATATATATATATATATATATAAATCAACGTGTATATCCATATATATATATATATTAATATATTAATATTATTTTTATTTAAAAGGTTTTAACTGTTTTACTCAGATTAGCTAGTCGTAGGAATTTTTATGAAATGCGACTAATTAGTATACGTTTGTGATCAGTGATTTATGGTGATCACTATGAAACTTTTCGATTTGAAAACCGACAAAGTTTTATTTATAAGACTGTTTCGATGTAACATATATCGTCGTTGTTAGTTTTAATACTTAAAAGGACTTATCTATACTATATTATAAAGCATTTGACAAAAACTCTTAAAACCCATTTTTTATGAATGATGTACTGCTTATTGATGCATATTACTTAAAATTCAAGAGTATAAGTAAATTGTGCATAAGTACAACTTATTAAATCTTCATGTTTAAAATCTTGTAACTAATTGCAAATAAACATAATCAAATACAAGATAAACATCCATTTTAAATATAAAAAATCTAACATATAATTAGGATAATCATCGAGTTCTAACAGAATACGTGATTATTATCTTTATAAAAAAAATTATATTATTAGATCAAATTAATCTATACTATATTATAATAATTTGTCAAAAACTCTTAAAAATTATTTTTTATACATGAAATACTGTTTATTAATAAATATTACTTAAAATCTAAGATTACAAATAATTTTGTGTAAGTACAACTTATTAAAGCTTCATTTTTAAATTTGTGTAACTAACTGCTGATAAACATAATCAAATACATAATAAACATCCATTTTAAATATAGAAAATCTAAAATATAATTAAGATAATTATTGAGTTCTGACAGAATATTTAATTATTATCTTTATAAAAATTATATTATTAAACCAAAAATAAATTAATTTGTTATTAAATCTAAATTAAATTATAATAAAAAAATAAATTGTAATAAAAAAATAAATTAGAGAAGTTACACAAAAAAAAAAAAAAACCAGAACTATTAAATAATTAATTTGATACTATTATCGATTTTTTTTTTATAATTTAATATGTTATTTTCAAATTGATATTTTAATTCAAAAATAAAAACAATATCACTTTCTCAAAACCACATAAAATCGTATTACATCGATAGACACAAAAAATAAAAACTAAACATTAAAATCGAGATTTATCACGCTGCATTGCACAAGTGCCCTTCTAGCTAGTAAGTAATATAACATATATTTTTAGATTCAACTATTTACAAAGATCACAATATCACTTTCCGATTCGAAAAATGATAATTATTTTTCCGTAGTCATACTTTAATCTTTTTGACATTTCCGTTATTTAGATTTTTCAACGTGAAATTTGGTGTTTATTTGAAATTTGTATGACTTTCCAAACTAAACCTTATACATGTTTAAAAAGATGCAAAACAAATACTAAAATATGTCACAATGTGCGATTTTGACCATATACTTAGGGTCTGTTTACTAAACCTTTACTCGATAAGTGTTTACTTTCTTACCTGATAAACATGACAATAGTTAAAAATCTTGTCCGGTAAGAACAATGATAAAGATGAAGAGTCTTACTCAGAAGTGAGGGTAACGACTCTTACCCGAGTAAACACTTACCAGGTAAATTGTTGCATATATATCATTTTGATGTACTACAATCTTATCCGATAAAATAAATTATAGTGTTGCTTCCTGATGGTAAACATATTTTTATTGGGCTTCTTTCATTTTAACTGGTATAATGATTAAGGGGCCATTTACCAAACACTTACCTGGTAAGCGCTTACCAGTAAAATTCAACACTATCACTTACTTACCGGGTAAGATTTTAGTCCACAAAAACGGCATCATATGCAACAATTTACCCGGTAAGCGCTAACCGTGGTAAGAGTCCGCGTCCTCACTTACCGGCTAAAACTCTTGGTCTTTGCCTTGTTCTTACCGGGTAAGATTCTTGGTCCTTACCATATTTATCCGATAAATTAATGTGACTTGGTAAGTGCTTACCCGGATAAACGTTTGATAAACGGCCCCTAATTCATAAAGTAAAACGTGAATAAAAAAGCACCTGAACGAAGCAATCGTGGAAATGAAGCCGAAGCAAGCCAGCGGCTTGACCGATATCCTCCTTGAACACTTTCTTGAGATGTTTACGCACAATTTTTTCGACCTTTGGACAACTCTTATGGTGAAAATCCCATGATAATCCTTTCTTAATGGGTGCCGAGTAATCGGCCTCCGATACGTAACAAAGCGAAGCGAAGATCAAGAAAGAAGAGAAAACCAGAAACAAAGTGGTCGAAGAAGAAGAAGCCGCCATGGATGGATGAAGTTGAGAGCTTGAAGTTGAAGAAGAAGGTGGTGTGGTTCCATGGCAAACTTGAAAAATATTTATAGGGACTTCAAGCATTGACCAAGTCTTATGTTATGATTAAAGGGCAATTTGGTCATTTTACTAATAAAATGAAAAAGGTTTTAAGTTCGAATATCTTATTTATGATATGGTTTAAAAGATTATCAGAAGTGATATCAACGGTAATGTGATAAACGATTCAATCTTTTTTTTTTTTTATTAACCTGGACATCCAACCCGCTATGCGAGCCGACTAATCACAGGGCGACCACCTGTTTTGCAGATAGCCCGGAGTCACCCATTTGAATCTCCGTGGCTACAAAGGTATATTTTTATTTCTCCTTATATTTGAACCTGGGAAGTGGTTTTCAGTAATAATATCAACGTCCCAAAAACTGACTGTTAACAGATATTTGATTTTTAATCAAATGTTTTTAATGTTTATGATTACGAAGAGTAAAATAAAGAAAATTACGGGTCAAGAATGAAAACTACGAACTTAAAATAACTACTAATAATATTTAAAATTTAAAGCACGAACGTCTAGAAATGACATTCGGATCGTTGGATTATTGTGATCTTTATAAACATAGCAGTTGGATTTAGAAATGACATTTGGATCGCTGGATTATTGTGATCGTAACAGTTGTATCATTGATAATAGACTAAAATGGTATTCGCACAATGCAACGATATATATCTCGATTTTAATGTTTCGTTTTATTTTTTTTCTCAGTTGATGTTATAATACGGTTTTATGTGGTTTTGAGAAAAGAATAATGTTTTTAAATTTTGAATAAAACATAAATATGAAAATATCATACAAAAATGAAAAAAAAATATTGATATTAATTATTTAAAATTTTTTGTTTTTTTTTCTGTATTTCTTTAATTTATTTTTTTATTTTTGGTTTAATAATATAGTTTTTTTAATAATAATAATAATAATAATAATTTAGTATTTTGATAAAACTCAATGATTATTCTAATTATATTTTAGATTTTTTATATTTAAAATGAGATATTTATCCTCTATTTGATTATGTTTATCTACAGTTAGTTACACGAATTCAAACATGAAGCTTTAATAAGTTGTACTTATGCACAATTTACTTGTAATCTTGAATTTCAAGTAATATGCATCAATAAACAGTACTTCATGCATAAAAAGTGGTTCTTAAGAGTTTTTGTCAAATGTTTTTTTAATACTAGAAGGGTACTCGCGCAATGCAACGGGATATATCTTGATTTTAAGATTTTATTTTATTCTTTATCTCAGTCGATGTTATAGTATAGTCTTAGGTGATTTTGAAAAAACCGATAATGTTTTTATTTTCGAATAAAATGTAAATTTGAAGATATCATAAAAATTTGACAAAAAATATATCAATATTACTATCAAGTTAACTATTTAAAATTCTTATTTTTTAGGTAATTTTTTAATTCAAT